TCTTTTGTAGGTAAGAAGTCTATCTTTTTTTCTCTTTGCTTGTATCTCATGAGGCAGTTCTCTGCACCGGGGAGGCCAAGAATAAATGAAGAAGGGGCAAACACAGCCAATGGGCAGTCAGGATAACAGTAGATGAAAACACAGTGGTCTAGAGACAAAAGAGCTGTAACCTGAAACAAGGCCTGCCTGTCTTCAAGAGGAATTCAACTCAGTCATTATGATGAGCCAGCGTGACAGGCCAGCCACCATACCAGATGCCAAGGAGATAGAATAGGCCTCCCTTCTTGGGATCCAAGGGAGGGAAGTCAATGGGTATGTGGTGAATGGGAACTCCAAATCCTGACTTCCCAGGTTGCTGTCCACCCTGGCCCAAATAGCTCAGCCTAAGTTACAGCTACGCCCTGCAAATCGAGCCATCTCCCATTTGAGAAAGTTAGTACCTGATTGTCAGTAGCGTGCGGAAGCATTCTTTCTGTTATATCCACCTTTCATACTCAGCCTGAGGGGATATATTGAGAAGTCGAACCAGAAAGGAGCTGTTTGAAGAGTGACTTTACCACTGATAGCTCCTTTGTAGATGGTGGCTATTTGTTTGTTCACACAATAGTTCCTGGGCATTTACTGTACTTGGCATTGTACTAGGTTTTAAGGCCAAGGCATTAAATCCTAATCAAGTGTATGTGTGAGGGGAGGGGGTGGTAATGAGAAGAGAAGGGGACTTCAGATGAAGGAAATAAAATCTGGTGATATTTTGAAATGTTACTTAACTTACTTGAACAGTTTCCTCTTTTGTAAAGTGTTATGTACATTATGTGAAATAATCTATGTGATAGTTCTTTGTCAGTGGTCCAGGATCATCATCAGAGTGACATCCCAGCCTCATAGTCACCTACGCAGGTCCTTGATTGGCTGTGTGTGTGTGTGTGTGTGTGTGTGTGTGTGTGTGTGTGTGAGAGAGAGAGAGAGAGAAACGAGTGTTATTATGACAACACCATGTTTCATAATACTTCACTCCATGGGATGTTCAAGGCCGAGAATGTGGTCCCTGAGTGGCGCAAATCATTGAGCTATAAACGAAACGGCTGGCAGTGTGACAATCTGCTTCCCCAAAGTCTCTGCCATGGAGGCAGCTCGACTCTTAGATGCATGGTACCACCATGAGTCATAATCAGCCGGATGGCATCTGGCTTTGTTTTGCCTTGCTTTGTTTTGTGAACGAGGCATTTCCACGACAGAACACACTGCCACCCAGCCATTTCTAACTCCTAGCAGCCCTCTGGGACCAAGTGGAACCGCCCCGTAACGTTTCCATCACGACAGAAGCAGATAGCCACAGATGGCGCCGCACCACCCACGCCTGTGTGGATGGGGCTTCAAGAAGTTCATGGAAAGATGGAGTTAAAAGATAGTGAATTTTACCCCTGAACTTGTGTGTGTGTGTGTTCAAAGACACCTTGTGCTTTTCCTTCATTGTTGCCTTTGCTCAAACCCCTCCCTCATATCTTGCCGCATGAAAGCAGTAGCCAATATATATTAAAGATCTCATAAAAACGGAATTGTGGAGCAGAGTGAAAGAACATAGGAACTTAGAGAAGGCAGAGTACCCTGATGACAGCACAGGGAGAGAAGGATGTCTTGGAGTTTTTAAGACAAGATTGTGCTTCAAGGTAAACAAGTGGCCATCCAGCTGAGAAGCCACAAAGCCCACATGGAAGCACACCAGCCTGAGGTGTCAATAGGATCAAGTATCAGACATCAAAGACCCAGAACAAAAAAATCATATCATTGTGAATGAGGGGAGGTGCGGAGTGGAGACCGAAAGCCCATCTGTAGACAATTGGACATCCCCTTACAGAAGGGTCACAAGGAAGAGACAAGTCAGTCAGTGTGCATGCAGTGTAGCACTAATGAAACATACAACTTTCCTCTAGTTCTTTAATGCTTCCTCCCCCCCCCCCACTATCCTGACCCCAATTTTATCTATAAATCTGGCTAGATCAGAGCATGTACACGGGTACAGATAAGAGCTGGAAACACAGAGAATCCAGGACAGATAAACCCCTCAGGACCAATAATGAGAGTAGTAATACCAGGAGGGTAAGGGGAAGTGGGGAAACCAAGCACAATGATCTACATATAACCCCTTCCCTGGAGGACAGACAGCAGAAAAGTAGGTGAAGGGAGACATTGGTCTGTATAAGACATGAAAAACTAATAATTTATAAATTATCAAGGGTTTGTTTGGGTGGAACAGGGAGGGGGAAATGAGCTGCTATCAAGGGCGCAAGTAGGAAAAAATGTTTTGAGAATGATGATGGTAACAAATGTACAAATGTGCTTGACACAATGTATGGATGTATGGATTGTGATAAGAGTTGTACGAGCCCCAGTAAAATGATTTTTTAAAAATGTCTTGAGGCTCACTGCTCCTCCTTGTGTGACAGCAGCCGCCTCTCCCATTCCTGTGCAATCGCTGCTGCACCCCAGAGACATGATGGTGAAGGTCGGAGTGAACGGATTTGGCCGAATTGGGTGCCTGGTCACCAGAGCTGCTTTCCTGTCTGGCAAAGTGGATGTTGTTGCCATCAATGACCCCTTCGTTGATCTGCACTACATGGTCTCCATGTTCCACTATTAGTCCACCCACGGCAGGTTCAATGGCAGTGTCAAGGCTGAGAATGGGAAGCTTATCGTCAATGGGAAGGCCATCTCCATCTTCCAGGAGCGAGAGATCCCGCCAACATCAAGTGGGCTGAGGCCGGTGCTAAGTATGTCATAGAGTCCACTGGTGTCTTCACCACTGTAGAGAAGGCTGGGGCTCACTTGAAGGGCGGTGCCAAAAGGGTGATCATCTCTGCCCCTTCTGCTGATGCCCCCATGTTTGTGATGGGCGTGAACCACGAGAAGTATGACAACTCCCTCAAGATTGTCAGCAATGCCTCCTGCACCACCAACTGCTTAGCCCCCCTGGCCAAGGTCATCCATGACAATTTTGGCATCGTGGACGGACTCATGACCACAGTCCATGCCATCACTGCCAACCAGAAGACTGTGGATGGCCCCTCAGGGTAACTCTAGCGTGATGGCCGTGGGGCTGCTCAGAACATCATTCCCGCATCTGCTGGCGCTGCCAAGGCTGTAGGCAAGGTTATCCCGGAGCTGGATGGCAAAATGACTGGCACGGCCTTCCGTGTCCCCACCCCCGATGTGTCCGTCATGGATCTCACCTGCCGTCTGGAGAAAGCTGCCAAGTACGATGACATCAAGAAAGTGCTAAAGCAGCCAGCTGATGGTCCCCTAAAGGGCTTCCTGGGCTACAATGAGGACCAGATTGTCTTCTGTGACTTCAACAGTGACCCCCCACTCTTCCACCTTTGATGCTGGGGCTGGCATTGCCCTCCACGACCACTTTGTCAAGCTCATTTCCTGGTATGACGATGAACTTGGCTACAGCAACAGAGTGGTGGACCTCATGGTCCACACGGCCTCCAAGGAGTAAGAGCCCCCCTGGACCACCAGCCCCAGCCACGGCACTAGAGGAAGAGAGGCCCTCAGCTGCTGGGGAGACTTTGCCCCTAATTCAATCCCTCAAAACACTGAGGATATTCCATCCAGACCCCCTGAAGGAAGGGGAGGGGCTTAGAGAGCCCGACCTTGTCGTATACCATAAATAAAGTACATTGTACCCAGAAAAAAAAAGTTCTGAAAATCATGGTGGCAGCAAATGTGCTTGACACAATGGATGTATATATGAAGTGTGATAAGAGCTATCCAAGCCCCCAATAAAATGATTTAGAAAAAAGAAAACTCCCCTTACCTTTTCATTCCTTTTCACCAACTCTTTGAAACACCCCTGTACAATTTCTAGCCTAAGGTTCCTGTGAGGATTGAATGAGATCATGTGTGGAAAGCCTTTGTCCAAATACAGGCCGGTGGTGTAGGGAGTTATGCATTGGGTGCTGATCTCAGGGTCAGGAGTGTGACCCCACCAGCCACTCCGCCGGAGGAAGATGAGGCCGTCTGCCCCCACAAAGATTCATGGTCTTGGAAACCCTAGGGAGTAGTTCTCCTCTGCTCTGTAGTAACGCTGTAAGTCAGAATCAGCTCGGTCGATAGCAGTGGGTTTGGAGCTGTTATTGAATTATCCTGGTTCTAGTATTTCAAGTAGGAGCCCTGGTGGCGTAGGGGTTAGAGTTAGCTTGCTAACTGAAAGTTCAACTGTGGAGGAAGCTAAGGCTTGGTGCTCCCGTAAAGACTTACAGTCTCGGAAACCCACCTGGGCAGTTCTACCCTAGCCTATAGGGCAGCGGTTCTCAACCTGTGGGTCGTGACCCCTTTGGGGGTTGAACGACCCTTTCACAGGGGTCTCCTGATTCATAACAATAGCAAAATGACAGTGATGAAGTGGCAACGAAAATAATGTTATGGTTGGGGGGGTCATCACCACATGAGGAACTGTATGAAAGGGTCGCGGCATGAGGCAGGTTGAGAACCACTGCTATAGGGTCTCTGTGGGTAGGCCTCAACTCGATGACAATGAGTTTGGCTTTTGGAGTATTTCAAGTGCCCTTGCCCTCATGTGAAATGAGAAGGTGGAGTGAAGGCGAAGTCACAAGTCTAGTTCCTCTGGCGACTAGTCCTATTAACAGGACTGTGTCCACAGGGAGAGAAGGCACCTCAAACCAGCAAGTGTACCCCAACAGAGACCACCCAAGTTGAGGGACTGATTAGTGCAAATCACTCTCTCACACTGGTAAAAACAGTATGGTGACATACTGTGTTAAGAATGATTGTTCCATTTGACTCAGACACTGTAACTTTCTATTGGTGGGGTATTTCTTAAGGAAAGAAAAAAAATTTTTCAGTAGAAAATTTATCACCTTATATCTAATGGGTTTTCTTCATACTACCAGCAGATTATGCAAAACAGATGCCTGATGCCGCTGCCTGCGTGCACCTGTGGATTTCATGGTTGCATTTCGTTTCCCCCACTCTTTCAGTTCTTGCAGACAACCTGAAATCCAACCCTGGAATTAAGTGGCAGTATTTCAGTTCCGAAGAAGGAATTTTCACTGTTTTCCCGGCCCACAAGTTCCGCTGTAAGGGCAGCTACGAGCATCGCAGTAGGTAGGTTGGCTTGCCTGCTAAAATTTTCATTGCTGTGCAAGAGTGATTTCTATGCAGTTCAGATCCCCACCTGTGGAGGTGCCACCTCTAGACTGTGTGGACTGTTTGTCTAGAAACATGTGCTTCCCCTATTCTGAAGTGTGTGCCCCATTTAACAGGCAGACCCAGGGAAGGGCAGGTGGTGACGTCCAGAACCTCTTGGGCATGATCTAGCAAGCCCAATAAAGCAGAGTGTTTCCTAGAGCGATTAAGCGTTGGAAGCAGCCCCGTTGTTTTAAGCTTCAGATGTCTTTGTTAAGACAAAATGAGGGCTTCTTCTCTCTAGTCCCTCCTCGGAAGGCTTTATAGCGCGTGTCAGCATAGATGAGGATTTGCGATTCTCAGCTCTCTCTGTGCGCTTGGCCATACTTATAAAACTGACGCGTAACCCTCGGCTAGCTAGACGTTTTAGAGTTGTCCAGAAAGTAATGCATCAGAGGTCTGGAACGTCCTGCTTTCCACGCGGAAATGACATGCGGTTGTACGTAGCCAGAAGGGCAGTACCAGGGAGATAATTTGTAGGACAAGGCTCATCAATTTACAGCACCCCCAGGGCAGAGATCACTTCCTTTTGAATCTAGCCATTTCCCTTTGTAGCATCGGGTGTTTGATGCCAGACCATCTGGAGCCAGCCAAGGTGCCCGCTTTGCCTGCCTCTGGCTGGAGTCTAAATTAACCATCACTTTGGCTTCCCTTCATCTTTAATTGTGTCTAGGGTTTTCTCCCCCGGAAAATCCTTCTCCCATGCTTTCCGTAGGAAGACTTTGCTTGGTTGTAAGTTTTCTTCCACTCCCTCCCTAGACATCCAGGTGATCACTTGAGTGTCTCCGAGGCTGAACCAGAGGCCATGCCTTTGGCTTCTAGTTCCGCTCATCTGTCGCTGGAGCAAAAGAGATGCTCATTGTTTCCCACATGGGTGATATGACCCCTGGAGACGGGGGAGAGGATGTAGGCAGACACTGCAATGATCCAAGGGAGCTGCCAAAGCTCCTGCACTTTATCCTAGTTTACGGGCTATAGGACCAAAGGGAGGCGCTGAATAGTTTTTGGTTTGTGTTTCCTGAAAAGGAGGCAATGGACCAAATAAGTCTGGGACCCTGTGATCCAGCTTTTCTTTGTGGCTATGAAAAAGTCATGCTTCTTTTAATACAGGGGTCCTCAAACATCACAAGGGGCCAGTTTACTGTTCCTCAGACCCGCTGGAGGGCCGGACTATAGTTTAAAAAAAAAAAAACTTTGAACAAATTCCTATGCACACTGCACATATCTTATTTGAAGTAAAAAAACAAGCGGGGCAAAAACACCAGGCAGGCCAGATAAATGTCCTCGGCAGGCCGCGTGTGGCCCACGGGCTGTAGTTTGAGGACCCCTGGTTTAATGAGTCCACTGGGGGTGGGGGGTGTTTGGGGGGAGTCTGAAGGGAAAGGAGAACCAGTCACAAACCAGCACGCCACTCTGCCAGGTAACTTAGAAGGTGTTCATATGCCCACACCCACGTTCCACCCCTCTGTCTGTGTGAAATCTGCCGCAATCCCGCTTCCCTTGGCCACATCATCAAGGTTTCCTTCCTCGTAGATTGCTGCCCCATCCCTAGACCCATCCTAGCCTCTTTCCTTAAAGCCCTTGCAAGTTCCCAATGGCCCTTTGAAGTTGTGGTGCAGGTGAGGACCAGTCGGTGCATTTTGTATTACTTGTCCTTATGTTCCACGAAAGCCATTTCACCCCTGGAGGAGGCCCACGCTGACACATCCCATGCTTTGCCCACACGTGATTTGAGATGGGAAAGAAGGCCTTGGGCCGATCCTCTCCCACAGTTTGCCGGTGACCTTGGGGAGCCGAGACGCCCGTGTTGGTCCTAGGTGTCGCTGTTGATGCCCTGCTTCCCTCTTCCATGTCAGCCGCCACCTCTCCTGGATTCTCCTGGCCCTCTTTCTTCACCAGCCCCGTGGCACCCGCTGGTGAAAACAGTCGTGCATTTGTCTGGGGGCAGGACTTTGGGGCTTGTGAACAGTGAGTGGGAACTCAGCCAGATTTGGGATTTCGTCGGTGCCCTGCTTGCATTCCTTCATGTGTGCCCAACTTTTGTGACTCCACCAGCCCCTAACGTTTCACAGCGCAGCCTGGTGTTTGAGGGAATGTCCGTAAAGGAGAGAATTCTCTTGAGGCTGATTTGCTTTCTTGAGCTCCCCCTAATTTGCTTCGGCTTTAAAACTGTGAATAGAGACCTCATTAAGTTCTTCACAGCAACCTGCCTGCTCTGCACATTAGCAGGAGGCTGCTTTGATTTGAGGCATTTCTCCCTTGCCCGCTTTTGTTTTTCCCCTCGTCTTTTCTTTTTAAATGTTGGCAAACACAAAGCCTGGCAAGGAGAGTGGCTGTGACAGGCGTGGACACGTTTTTGATGGCATTGTGTGAACTGGTTGGTGAAGGGGCCTTTTGGTGGCTGGCTTGTGTAAATTACTGTCGTGCAGAAAGGAAAAGGTCATCTTAGCAGGAAGCTTTGCCTAGGAATAAACTACCCGCACCGTCAGCCTGCTCACGGTGTGTCTGCTGGCGTTAGATGTGTCCAGTTAGCCTCTGGTGCGCCGTGGACAGAGCGCTGCCCACCCCGGGCCCTCCCTCTAGTCAGCATGAAGCAGACCTTGTGATCCACAAAGTTAGCATGGGCTGATTGGGGCAAGGAGAGTGGCAGGCCTTTCTTGCTCATCCATCTGAGTCCAAAAGGTTCTCTGACGTCTGCTCAGCATGATATATACAGCCTCTCTGTACAGCAGGTGGTAAGTGCCCCGGGCACGTCCCATTGCAGCACAACCCTGCCTGCTCCTTAGATCTGCAAACAAGGGCCCAGTACCGGCCAGTGGGCCATTTTCTCCTCCGTACACTGTCTGGACACCCACTGCACTCTTCCTGTAGTGAAATGGGCCGTTTAACAGGGAGCACCCTCACCATAGCTGTGAGGGAGGACTTTTTTTTTTTTTAAACATTTTATTAGGGGCTCATACAACTGTTATGGCGATCCATACACACATTAATTGTGTAAAGCGCATTTGTACATCATTCTCAAAACATTTTCTCTCCACTTAAACCCCCGACATTAGGTCCTCATTTTTCCCCTCCCTCCCCACTGCCCCCTGCCTCATGAGCCCTTGATAGTTTATAAATTGGTATTTTGTCATATCTTGCCCTGTCCGACGTCTCCCTTCACCCACTTTTCAGTTGTCTGTCCCCCAGGGAGGAGGTCACACACAGTTCCTTGTAATCGGTTCCTTCTTTCCTACCCATTCTGAGGGAGCACTTTTGAGGGTGCTGGAAAAGCCTTAGGAGTTTGTGTCTTATAAAGCTTATCCGCATTGCCTTTCATCTTTAGGGGACAGGCATTACAGATTTCTGTTCCGCAGACACACCCATGGTTGTGCTGAAGTATTGTTTTCAAGGTACCAGCACTTTGATTTCAGCATCCTGTGCTTTCCTCTGAAAAAAATCCACGTCAGTGCTGGTCTACCCACCCAGTGTTGGTATTCACAGCTGCCTTATGGTGAGGCCTCCCACCCAAACCAGGATTGACCCCAGATTGCTTCTCGCCCCTCTAGGCCCATCTACGTCTCCACGGTCCGGCCTCAGTCGAAGCACATCGTGGTGATCCTGGACCACGGCGCTTCCGTGACGGACACCCAGCTGCAGATAGCAAAGGACGCCGCCCAGGTCATCCTTAGTGCTATCGATGAACACGACAAGGTGACTGCTGTGCCAGTGAGCCCCTGTGCCTTCTCTTCAAGGACGTCGTCGTGCGATACGTCTTACTCTTTTTCATTCTTTTTTAAGCCACCTTTAAAATGACTTTGGGAATGGGGCACACATTAGTTTTTGTTCCGTGTGAGGCAGCCCCGCCAACCACCCCCAGTCTTCCCATGCCTCTGTGGCTTCTGCTGGGAGCGCCTCCCATCAGCCCTAGCTCTCCCCCTGGAAGTTAACGCTGAGGGCGAAGGGCGAGGGTTGTTGATAGTGGTGGGCGTCTGAGCTTTATCTCACGATTAATTGGAGGTGAGAGAGGAGGAGAGGGGCTGAGGTTTACTAATCTCCAGAGCAGTCCCGAGCTAGGTGTGTTTACAGCAAGTGGTAATTTATTGCCTGTGAGCACTTGCTACTCCATCATTTTGACTTTTCCAACTCCAAAGGTTTTGCTCAGTAATCCGCTTGTAGTAAACACACACCCCGTGCCCCAACGCCCAACCCGAAGTTTGGACACCAAGATGGTGAGTTTGCATGCTCGCTCAGATTCTTCTCCACATCTCAGGGTGTCGTGCATTTATGTTGGTGGCGGTGGTGGTTAATGGTATTTACAAACACTATACTGCCGGCTTCGTGTTGGAACACAAACATCAAACTCTAGGATTTCCCCCTCATGTTTCCATGTTGAAGGAGCCCTCGTGGCCCATTGCTTACACATTGGGTTGTTAACTGCCAGGTCAGCAGTTTGAAACCACCGGAGAACAATGGGGTTTCCTCCTCCCTTAAAGATGCACAGTCTTGGGAGCCCCGGGGGCACCCGAGAAAGATGGGGTTTCCTCCTCCCTTAAAGATGCACCATCTTGGCCCTCTGGGGCAGCTCTGCCCTGTCCTGGAGGGGTTTGATGCCAAGGCAGGGAGTGCGGAGCTTGTGCTTTTCCATCTTTACAAGTTTTTTCTTTCGTTTTCCCTTTCAGGTGTGATAGATTTATGCCACCATCGTTTATTTGTTTGCTTGTTTATTAACTTCCCCAAAACTGTTTGATAACCTGTCTCATTCTTTTGGCTCTTCTGGAATGCTAAAGACCAGATAAAAACAGAGAAACCTCCCATGGGAGGCTGACAGGTGTTTTGTTTTGTTTTTTTCCCTTCTTCCAGATTTCCGTGTTGACTGTAGCAGACGCCGTGAGGACCTGCTCCCTGGACCAGTGCTACAAGACCTTCCTGTCCCCAGCCACCAGCGAGACTAAGAGGAAAATGTCCACCTTCCTTAGCAACGTCAAGCCTTCTGACAGCCCCACTCAGCACGCGGGGGGCTTCCAGAAGGCCTTCCAGCTGATTCGACGAACCAACAGCTACACGAGGTTCCAAGCAAGTAGGTGCATTTTCCAGGAGCACTGGACAGCATCATCCAGAACACAGTAGAAGGGAGATATTGTCAGTTGGTGACATACACTAGAGTTAAAGAGATTTTTTTTTTTTTTTAAGAAACTGATTTGGGATCAAATGTTCCTGTGTTTTGCTGACCTTCATCTAATCTTACTAGGTTTGCGTATCATTTTCACTCCTGGTCTTTCTTTACTAAGAACTTGCCCCTCCATTTATTTCCCAAGTGAACAGCCACAGCCTTTTGAATGGAGATTATCGGCCCTGCCTCTTCATTGACTCGGAGTGGGTGTCGGCTGTGCGCATGCGCAGGGAGCTGGGGCAGCAGCGGGAGCCTTCCTTGATCCTTCCTGCTCCTGCCCAGCTGTCAGTCAGATGAGGAGGGCCCTTCAGACGCACAAAGGCACTCTAATTTAATTTTCATGTGCGAGAGAAAATCTGGACTTGGAATGCGCGCTACAGTAAAGGAGATTTGAAATGGACCCGTCACTTTGAAAGGACTGAAAGGAATCCGTTTCATTTTTCCCTTTCATATTAAAAAAATCTGTTGGAAGTTGGGGTTGTTTTTAATTATTTTGTTTCATTTCCACTCTTAAGGATTTGCTTGTTGGCTTATTGAGAAAGCAAGTGTATCTTACTGGGATCAGTTTGAAGGGTACATTTTCAAGCGCTCTACTGTGTCTTTAATGTGCCTGCATTAGCACTGCGTTCACATTGGTAGAACCTGACATGGTGGATCACACGTGGTAGTGGAAGACTTCAAGGGTAAAATAAGTCAACTACGGTAATTATTACGATGAATGACGGAAAGTGATGAATTTGTATTTAGCTCCTCCATGGCAAATTACTACATACTTACGTTTTTCTGACAGCATGGTTCTGTTGTCTCATAGTTGCTGTAGATCAGGAGTTCGAGTACAGCTTAGCTTGATCCTCTGTTCAGGGCTCCTCCAGGGGTCTCATCTGAAGCTAAGGGACACTCTTCCAAGCCCACATGATGGCGAACTCATTCCCGTACAGCTCTCGAGCTCACGCGGCTAGCAGGAGACGATCTCTCCCTTTGAGTCTCTGTCTATAGGAAAGGTTCACTCCCTGCCATGGAGTCAACACTGACCCAGAGCGACCCCTGTGGGTTTCCGAGACTGTAACTTTGTATGGAAGTAGAATGCCCAGTCTTTCTCCAGAGGAGCTGCAGGTGGTTTTGAACTGCCGGCCATGTGGATCACAACCCAACGCGTGACCAGTACACCGCCAAGCCTCCATAGGAAAGACTAGAACCTTCTTTTTTTGTATTTAATCATTTTATTGGAGGCTCTTACAACTCTTAAATAACAATCCATACATCAATTGTATCAAGCATATTTGTACATATGTTGCCATCATTTTCAAAGCATTTTCTTTCTACCTGAGCCCTTGGTATCAGCTCCTCTTCTTTTTCTACCTCACTCCCCCACTCTCCCACCCTTGTGACCCCTTGATAAATTATTATTATTATTTTCATAATATTACACTGTCCGCTGCCTCCCTTCACCCACATTTCTGTTGTTTACCCCCTTGTTGGAGGGGGCAGTATTATGCATCAATCATTGTAATCAGTCCCCCCTTTTCCTACCTCCTCCCTACCCTCATGGAATCGCCATTCCCATTACCGTACCTGAGAGGCTTTTCTCTCCTGGATTCCGTGTGTTGAGAGCTCTTATCTGTACCTGTGTCCATGCTCCGGTCTAGATGGATTTGTAAAGTAGAACTGGGGTCATGATAGTGGTGTGGGGGAAGCTTTAAAAAACTAGAGGAATGTTGTATGTTTCATCGGTGCCACACTGCACCCTGACTGACTCATCCTTCCTTGTGACCCTTCTGTGAGGGGATGTGCAGTTGTCTACAGAGGGCCTTTGGGTCTCCACTCCCCACACCCCTTGTTTGCATCGATATGATTGTTTGTTTTGGGCTTTTGATGCCTGATTCCTGATCCTGTTGACACGTCGTGATCACACAGTTTGCTGTGCCGTAACCTTCCTTTGAAGAGTTTACCTAATCAGTTCAAACTCACCTAGGATAATCTCCCATCGGATTGACTCAAAGTCAACTGACTGGGACCTTACAGTAGTTCTACGTAAATAATAGACACATTATGCAGGCAATTTTTTTTGGGGGGGGGGCAAACTACACAAGCCCTTCGTACATATCAGCCTCCTGTTGTTGCGATTAGGTACTCTTGAGTCAGTTCTGACCTATATGCACAACAGAACATCATCCTCACAATTGTTGCCACGCATTGTTACAACTGCTGTCACTCCATCTCATTGAGGGCTTCCTCTTGCTCACTGTGTGTGGTACGCACATTCTGTGCGAAAATTATATCTGCAGAATTCCTTTGCCGTTGAATATGCCATAAGAGTGGGAGGGATGACCCAACACCTTTGCCACATCCTAGTTGTTAGAGCAAGATGCAGCCCTGCGCAAAGTCAGAGGTAGGACGCCTGGGGCCCAGCTGAGAATTCTGCCTTCCAGTGAGTGGATAGGCAGCTGCTCACAGGCCAGTGTTACAGGCAGAGGGTCGCTGTGGCCTGCAAGCAAGGCTGACTTCTCACGGCTGCAGTTCATATCGGCTAGTTGGCCAGTTTTATTAGCCAGTTGCCATTTTCCTCTCAGAGCTCATCAATACAAGTGTCACTTCCACTTGATTCCACTAATGTGAGCTGGGGGATCAGATCATGGAGATGGGCAGGGGAGTGGAGGGAGCTGAGGACCACGTGCTCGATTAAATCCGGGCCGCTGCTCTTCTGCTGCGGCCTGTGATTGCTGAGCAGGCCTCCTTCACAATGTGGCCGATGTGTTTGATGAGAAGCCAGAAATCTGTTCTTTTACATGAAATCTCCTGATTTTCGAATGTGGACATTTGTTCCTACTTAAACCCATTGAAGAGGGACCTCATTAAGCCTCTTCTCACCAACCTTTTTGCCATTTAGCGAAGGCTGGTTTGATGGGAGGCGTTGCGCTTGAGTTTTTAACCCCTGCTTCTCTTTCTCTCTCATTTATTAACTTTGCCTTGACTTTTTTGTTTGTTTTTGATGGATTTTTTATTGTGAATTAGGTGTGGGGGGGGTTACATGTTAGATTCTCAGTTCTGCATTCAACGATTCAAACCATTCGTCCATCACACACCCTCTGTTTGGTCCCATTTCTCCTCCCCTGGTTTCTCTTCTCTCTCATGGACCTCCACCATCCTTTATCCCCAAGTCTACACCTGTCGGCCTTCTAGCCATCCCTTCATCATCGCTTCCCACCCCCTACCCCTTGGGAGGTTCCAAAGTCTGTTCCCTGTGGACTGCAAGTGGTTGTCTTGGTTTTTATCCTTATAGGAGTGGTCTCATGCAATACTGGTCCTTTTGTGATGAACTGGCTTCACTCAGCATAATTCTCCAGGTCCATCTGTATCATGAGGTACTTCGTGGTTTCATCCTCATTTTTAGAGATGCACAGTATTCCATTGAGTATATGTACCCAAATTTCCGTATCCATTCTTCTACTGATGGACATCTGGGCTGCTTCCAACTTCTGGCCACTGAAGTGCTGGATCTGAGAGTTCATATGTCTGTTCATGTCACACCTCTTACTTCTTAGGGTGTAAACCCAGCAGCGCTAATGTTGGATCATAAGGAATTTCTGTTCCCAATGGTTTGGGGTGGCGCCAGATTGCTTCCCACATTGGTTGTACACATTGACAGACCCACCAGCAGTGTATGCCGTTCCACCCCCTCCAGCATTTGTTGTTTTCTTATTTTGTTTTGTTCTTGTTTGTTTGTTTTTAATTGGCTTGTCATTACAAGAGTAAGGTGATGTCACATCATTGTTTTCCCCCTCTTCCCTTAATGTTGACTAACAAAAGTATGGCAAGAAGCATGACTGCCGCAGGCCTGGACAAATGTGGATGGCTTTGTTCCAAATGACCAGGGGTATCTTTTTTTAAGACTCAGTCCACAGGTGTCTGGGTTTACAGCTTCTACTGACAGTTTAGAGGAAAAAAAGAACCAACAAGGTTGTACACAGAAATATTTGAGGAGTCAGTTACGTCAGGCTCATGGGGGAGAGGTCTTAAAATGCTCTCAAGCAATATAGAGCCCCTACTTCTTACCCATTGACGTGTTCATCAGGCAAAACTTGACATTGTGCAAAAATGGATGGTGGCTACGTCAGACCACAAACAGGAGATGACTCCATCATTGCAGATCCGTCAGCCCCCTGAGGACCAGGCCCCGCCAGACTGCCACACTTTCACCATCCCTGCAGACCAGCTCTCGGCTCACTCCTCAACGTTTGCTACTGCTAGATGCATGTCATTAATGTGCAAACTACATAGTAAAATGTTTACTATTTTTGTAAATACAAAATGCCCGATAATGAGATATTCCATAGATGAAGAGTAGCTGAATAGTGGACAAGTGTATGAGTTTGGGATTTGAACCAACGTGGGATAATAAGTTTACGGAGCATTAGTGTACAGCATACTGAGTGGTCTATATAGCACTTAGAGCTCCACCATTCCACAGACAGTGGGCAGCGATTGTGAACCAGAGGCTATTATAGACACCACAGAGTTGGGGGTATTGTAATGATTAAGACCTACTCTTTCAGGGTATAATGTAAATTATGCCTGACAATGAACTGTCTGGCCCACATTGATAACTGTATAAGTAGAAGCTACAGGGCATAAATCTATACAGTGGACTCTGTATAGTAGTTCTGTAACTATTACTAGCAGCAGTTGTTTTTCTGAGTTTGTCTTCTGGGATGATTGGTTGACGGATTCAATGGTTCAGAGTGGGGATCCAAGGGCATAGGATCAGCTGAAACTTGCGTGGCTCTCCTTTGTTTGACACTGACCCAACAGGGATGCTATCAAATGGAGAGGCAGCTCTTTTCCCCACTTGTGTGCACGTCTTTGTTCTGCCCCTAACGTCCCTACTGTTCGTTGTTCATGGCCGTGTTTTAAGTTCCTCTAACTCACCGGTTCTCAATCTGTGGGTTGCGGCCCTTTGGGGGTCGCTCGATTCATAACAGTAGCAACATTACAGAGATGAAGTAGCAACGAAAATAATAATAATATGGTTGGGGGGGGGCGGGTCACCACCACATGAGGAACTGTGTGAAAGGGTCGCGGCATCAGGAAGGTAGAGGACCACTGACGACCTTACAAAAGCTCCCGGAGCAGCCACATCTAAAATCTTCACAACCCCAACAGGAAGACCGTGAGAAGATGGCTTTCCCAGGCAGACGTTTATTTTCCCACAGTTTGCAGAGTGGAGGCCAAATGTGGGGCACTAGCTTTAGAGGGGGTCTGTCTCTATCTGCCTGCCGGCTGTCTGGCCCTCTGTTCCTTATTTTGCTTCGCAATCTCCATATGATAGCTGTTTTTCCCCTATTTGTGTTAGCTTGCCCTGGTAGTGTGGTTGATTACATGTTGGGCTGCTAACCACAAGGTCAGCACTTCAAACCCACCAGCCATCCTGAAGGAGAGAGTTGAGGCTTTCCACTCCCATAAAGGTTTGTAGCCTTGGAAACCCTGTACAGGGTCGCTATGAGTCGGAATCAACTCAGTGGCAGTGAGTTTGGTAGAGTTTAAAGTCTTTGTGTCTACGCTCCTCTTTCTATCATTCAAAAGTGATTGGATGTAGCACACATCCTACGAACCGGGCCTCCTTAAGAGAATAAGCATTCTATTTTCTAAAAGGATCCCCACACATAAAGGGGTCAAGACTCCAACACATATTTGGGGATAGGGGTGGGGAACACAGTTCAATCTACTACACAGAGAAAAGGTTCCATGGGGTTCTGCAGCCTCTGTTTCAGAAAGCAGGCAAGATTCCCATGAAGATTGCTAAACAGATAGGATGGGGGGGGGGTGCCTTGTGGAAATCACCTTCTTTTATCTGATAAAGTGATTTGGAATATGGCTTTGGCTAGCTCAGGATAAAGGAGGCCTCGTCTGCAAAGGGCAGACGGAAGGGACGCTGAGAGATGAAAGGCAAAGCATCGGCTGGGAAGGAATAGAACTAGTGGCCAGGCTGGTCCTTGAGGCAGAAAAGCCCAGGCTACATGAGAAACGCACCAAGCTGCCACCGCCTTTCTCCAGACTCCAGAGTAATGTTCAACTGATTTGTTTCTGTTTAGATACAGACATGGTCATAATTTACCTGTCAGCTGGCATTACATCAAAGGACTCTTCAGAAGAAGATAAAAAGGCAACGCTCCGGGTCATCAACGAAGAAAATGGCTTTTTGAACAACTCTGTAATGATTCTCACCTATGCCCTCATGAACGGTAGGTAGTGCTTTGAGCCTTTTCTTTCAGATGAATGCCTTCCTCGAAGTGTATGCTGCTTTGATAGATGATAGATAGATGGATGGATGGTAGGTAGGTAGGTAGATAGATAGATAGATAGATAGATAGATAGATAGATAGATAGATAGATATTCTAAAAGAGCCAAAACACTAGGCTTTGAAGCGTGTCTAGAGAGAGAGAACCAAACAATGTCCTTTCTGTCTGTCTGTTTCTGTGACTGATGTTGGGATTCGGGCCTGTGTTCAGATGCTTGTCTCCTCATCTCTTATTTCTAAACCTTTTCCAGGTAAGTACCCTGTTGGAGGATTTTATATGGCTCCACCTTTGTCAGCTCTCCTTTGAATTCTTGTGTTGTCTAAGGCAGCGGTTCTCAGCGTGTGGGTCGCGACCCCTTTGGTGGTTGAACGACCCTTTCACAGGAGTCACCTAAGACCATCAAAAACACATATTTCGGAAAACATATTTCCGATGGTCTTAGGAACCGAGACACCACTCCTCTATCCGTCTCCAGGCGGGTCCACTACATGCAAATATGCTGATCTGGTGAGAAAGAGGCTAACTTAACCTTCACACTCATGTTGGCTTTGAAGGCATACTGTCACAAAATGTAGCAATGTAGTTGACTGTTGTTATATTAAGACAGTTACCCATGCTACACCATGCTTCAAGACAAAATATCATTTATTTGTCATTCGAAACATTTCGCAGTATATCACGTTGTTTTTGTAATTAACCACTATGCTTTAATTATGTTCGATTTGTAACAATGAAAATCCATTCTGCATATCAGATATTTACATTACAATTCATAACAGTAGCAAATTTGCAGTTATGAAGTAGCAACAAAAATAATTTTACGGTTGGGGGTCACCAGAACATGAGGAACTGTATTAAAGGGTCGCAGCATTAGGAAGGTTGAGAACCACTGGTATAAGTGAGGTTTTGGTACTTCATGAAGGTTATTAATTTTTCTCCTTGGTTTAAGTTCCAGGAAGTCAAACATCTGGTCTATATTGGTCTGTGTCTATCCACTTTACATTTTCCTGCAGGATCACTCTGTTAGTCTGGGTAAACTAGAGAAACTAATCCATGGACACTCGTATTTGTATGAGAAAGAGGTTTATATACAAGAGCAATTGAATATTGTGAAAACACCCCAGCCCAGTCCAGATTAAGTCCACTAGTCGAATATTAGTCCATAAGTCTGATATTAGCCCATATGTCCGATACCAATCTATAAAGTCCTCTTCAGACTCACGAAACATGTGCAATGAAGCCGAATGTAGGAAGATCACAGGCCAGTGGGTGGGAAGGCTTGTGGATCCAGTGGCATTGTAAGCATCTCAGCACTGGCAGGGGTCTTCATGGGGCTCCTCTAGCTCAGGGCCTAGTTCCATGTGTCCTGTCAGCTGCAATGTCTTCCAGGGAGTGAGTCTGTGTGTCCTGCCTCTAATGAGCTATTTACCTCTAATGAACGCCTCCAAATGAGGTAATCAAGCTGAAACCAGATTGACAGGCTAAACTCCACCCCTTTACTCTTAAGCTTCAAATTGACAACAGATTATATAACCACCACAATCGCCATCTAACATCTCTCTCTACCTCAACTTCTTTTGCTATAAAATAAGAATAATAAGAAGAATGATCTCTTTTCTTAGAGTTGTTATCAAGATTAACTTTAATGCATAGAAAACACCCAGGACAGTATCTGGCACTTGCAAGGAGTCAGTAAGTGGAAGTAGTTGGTTTTGTGGAACTCTGATGGTGCAAGGGCCGCCACTGGAGAGAGACATGTTGATTGCCCCCTAAAGAGAGCAGCCGAGGGAAAGCTAATGGAACATTCTGTACTGTCTCCTAGGGTAGCTCTGTGTCCTTATCAACTCAAGGGCACCCAGTAGCGATAGTTGATTTTGTTGTTGTCCAGACACAATATATGTGAAAGGGTGGATTCAGTAAGCTGACAGGCTGGGGGAAATACTCCATCTTCCCCTCTTGCTGCTCAACCTGCCCTCTATTCAGAGTGTCTTCCAACTTCTAGCTCCTGTTTGTCTCTCGGGGCCCACCTCTTACTGCCTGCCCACTCTTCTTCTACAAGCAGCCCTGCTGCCTTAGTGGTTATGCGTTGGGCTGCTCCCTGCAAGGTCAGCAGTCTGAATGCAAAGACGGAGATGGGGCTTTCCCTGAAACTCTACCCAGTCCTGTTGGGTCGCGAGGAGTCAGCCTCGACTCGATAGCATTGAGTTTCCTTTGTTGTGTTTTTCAACAGAGGCATCTGTTCTAGCCTCTTAGTCCAGAGTAGTCACCTGCTCTGGCTTTTAAGAAGTCGTACCAAAAATAATAAAAAATAAAAAAAAAGAAGTCGTACCTTGATTCACCGCTCTCTCAAGCTTGGGTCTTTTCAACGTCTTTGTTTCTGAATGTCTGTGGAAAACTACAGGATTACGGACTGTGGTTCTAATGTTTTAATGTGCTCATTAGGCAGTCCTAGTGGGGTCGGGGTCAAACATTGAGCTGTTCAAGCCCACCGGCTGCTCCACAGGAGAAGGACAGGGCCATCTGTCCCTGCTCTCGGTGGTTCTCAATCTGTGGGTCACGACCCCTATGGGGGTTGAACGGCCCGGCCTTTCACAGGGGTCACCCGATTCATAACAGCAGCAAAATCACAGTGGTGAAGTGGCAACAAAAATAATTTTATGATCAGACAGAGTAAGACATGACAAAGTAATAATAATTTATAAATTATCAAGGGTTGGGAAGGGAGGGTAGGGTGGGGAGGGGAACAAAATGAAGAGCTGATACCAAGGGCTCAAGTAGAAAGCAAATGTTTTGAGAATGATGATTGCAACAAATGTACAAATGAGCTGACACAATGGATGGATGTAGGGATTGTGATAAGAGCTGTATGAGCCCCCAATAAAATTATTTCAAAAACAAGAAAGAAAATAATTTTATGGTTGGGGGGGGGGGTCACCACAACTTGAGGAACTGTCTTAAAGTGCCACGGTCTGAGGCAGGTTGAGAACCACTGCTGTAGAGGTTGCTATTGTCAGAGCCCTAAGGAGCCCCTCTGCCCTGTCCTATAGGGGCTCGGTGAATTGGAACCAACTAATGGCAGTTGATGAGTCAGAATCACTTGGGACGTTTCTCTACCTGCATCTTCTAAAGCCCTGCACTGGGCTTCCTATTCAGACCCCCGAGGTGTGGAGTCCAGCCTTCTGTGTTTGGGTCAGGAAGTCTCCTTTCCAGGTGTCTCACAGGTCATGCCTAGAAGCACGCAGGCTGTCATTTACTAGATGAGTCACTTTGGCAGATTGCTTCCTCTCTGACAACGCCAGTTTCGTCCATAAAATGCAAAGAATAAAATCCTCGTACGTTTGTTTGGGTAATAAGCAAAATATGCTCTATTGTAAGTTCTTCCCACCATACCAAAAACCAAACTCAATGCCATCGGTTGATTGTGACTCGTAGTCAGACCTGATGGGACGGAGTGAAATGGCTCCGCAGGGTTGCCAGGACTGTACAACTTTGTTTTTTAACCTCCGACCTTCTCCGTTAGGAATTGAGTACTGACCATTGTACAACCAGGGTTCCTTCTTACAACTTCCACCCAGGCCCACTACCATTGAGTCAATTCTGACTCATAGTAACCCTATAGAGGCTTTCTGAGCTTGTAAACCGTTATGGGAGCAGATAGCCTCAGCTTTCGCCTAGGGTGTTGCTGGTGGGTTTGAGCTATCAACCTGGCAGCTAAGGTAAATAATAGATCCTCAAAACCAGTTGAACGCTTTTATTAGTTGCTGTGTCAGACAGCACAGCCCAGAGTTGAAGACACTTCACCACCAGTTCTGGTCCACCGATTCTGGTCCAGAGCCAGCTCCCTTGTTGGTCCCCAGCATCTTGTGTTTCTTCTATCCAGCATGCCTCCCTTTATACTAGAGTGTGATATGTCTGTCTGTCTCTCTCTCTCCCCCTCCACTTTTCATTTGAAAAGGTATCAAGCCTTGTTTTTGTTTGTACTCTAGGGCTGAGCACGAGGATCGCTGGGTTATGTTCAGGTCTGTTGCCTCTGAGGGTCATCTCTAGTTGACTGGTGCTCTATTCTCTTATGGTTTCTTCCACTGTGAGGCCAGGGAGAGAGGGAAGGAAGAAAGAAAGAGAAGAAGAGAAAAAGGAAAGAAGAGGAAATGTAGTGAGCACCTATTGTGTGCAACCGCTCTCCTTAATGCAATGGACATTAGAGTGATATTCAACCAAGTTCTTGTGTTCAGGAACCATACAAAGGAAGACACACGAGGCACCAAAGTTCAATGCATTAGTCAATGAGTGAGGAAAATGAGAGGAAGTGATCGCTTCCTTTTGATTCCATTTGAATAGCTGCCCAGGCAGAACCCAAGTTAAACTTCCTTACATGCTAATTTTCATCTGCCATTGGTTCTAAACCCTTCCGCCAGTGTGTCTTGTACATTTTCTGGGTCTCCTAACTCCCTTCTTTAGAACCCCCCGTTGTTCCCTGTAACCCCCCTTTCCTCTTTCTCCTTTTAATCTAGCTAGGTCGTCTCACTGCCACCTTGCTCTCTCTCCAGATGCCAACAAACGAGCCCTGTTCCGTCGGGTGGACTCCTTCCTTTAAATGATCAGTCGTGGTTCAAGCAGAGCTGCAGAACCACCGTGAGGGTTTAGAATAGAGAATGTCGTTTATTCACAGAGGAAAGTAAGGTCAAGAGAATGAAGGGCCGCAGAGACAGTTGAGCACAGTCAGCTGTAGCATGGTTGAACAAGCCAGACAACACAGAAAATCCTGGAAGCCAGGTACATCAAGCTGTGAGTTGTGGTTGACGATGATGATGTTAGGTGCCATCAGGTCTGACTCAGTGGCCCCTGCACAGCAGATTGACGCGCTGTCTGTTCCTGTGCTGTGCTCACAATTGTTATGTCCTAGCAGTCACTGTGTCAATCCATCATGTCAGGGGCCTTCCTATTTTTCCCTTCCCTCCCGCTTTACTGAGCATGATGTCCTCCTCCAGGGACTGCTCCCTCTCTTTTTATCATCTGCCACTGTCAGCTTTTCAACACACACACAGCCCACACAGCCTCCCCCATCTCGACTCTGTGCCAATCAAAGAGCAATAATCTGGTCCTGTCTCAATTTGACTCCAATATTTTTATCTTTCAGTGGTGCACTGGTGTAGGAGTGAAACAACCAATTTATTTACATTTCCTGTTTTTTTGTTTTACAAAATACAATACAAAGGGCTTCAAAATGTTTGTGGGGAAAATCACATTATCTTTTCATTCCATTTCTCCACGACCTTTGTGGAGCCCCCTTGTGTAACCATTAGAGTCTGCCACCTCTTTAGAAAAGGATTTGCAGGGGCCGGCCCCAATCCCAACTGCTACATGGACACCTGCCCCTCCCCCCAGAAGAATTTATTTCAAAGGACGGCATTGAATCTGCAGCTCCGGGAGAGGGATATATCTGATTGGAGCACACGGGAGCGGATGAAGGGGGAGGAGGAGAGAGTGGAGCACATCCTGGCCCACCACGCCTTGAGGATGATGTTCCCAATTAGAGCAGCCAGTCCACAGAGAGGACTACATGGCTGACCCCACTATGAGACATGACGTCCCTCACTGACCCATAGCCCTACAGGGATCAACACTGGAGACACAGTGTGGGAATTGCACCCGATCTGATCCCGCCACACCTAGGCAAGACACTAAGGGCGTGCAGCGGAACAGCAACGGAATGGAGTGGCGAGGTCCCCAGGGAATGCTGAAGGTGGACTTTGGGGCCAGGGCATGGTGCCCAAACAGACTAGACTGGAAAACACTCCTAAAGGCCAACAAACAGTCCTTGAACTAACTACAAGCTTTTCTTTCTTATTGTGTTTTGTTTTGTTTTTTGGTCATTGGTTTGTTGTTGATGATGTTTTGTTGTATATTGTTGCTTGGTTTTGCTCTGTCATGTTTTTTGTGCATATTATTATCTCCGCAGGTCTGTCTAAATAAGATAGGCTGGATGAACAATCTGGAG